TGATATATATATATATATATATATATATATTGTGTATTTGTATGTTGACAAAATTTCAAATTATTTAATATGAATTACTCAAGTGTTAGAGTAAGGGTTATTGATTGGTGGCAGTCGAAATCGATTCTTTGGTCACCGTTGAAAAATTTTTTTACAGTGGAAATGAGAATGATCCCCACTTAGACATACTAATAAGAGTTATTCAAGAGTTGGTTGGACATTCATGTGTAATTATACGTACAATGTGGCTACTTTTGTTAAAAATTGAATGATGATACATGTAGGGATTGAATGATCTAAATGCTCCTCCAAGTGGAGTGAGAGTATCTTTATTGCTAACAGTATTAATTAGACCGACATGTACATAAAAAATGTGAATTTAAACGAAAGGATTATCAACTTTGTCATCTTAATCAAAATCTAATATCTCCTAACATAAAGTTAATATTGGAGTATCTTTGATACAACATTGTACGTATGAGACACCCTTTGAGCGGTGCAAGCTCTTGCTAGTTGAGAAGAGAGAGTAAGTATATTGAGACTCCGCATTAAGTACTAAGGATACTACTAGACACGATTTAAAAGGATGCCAAAGATTTTTGGAGATAGAAGTAAAGTCTTATTGTTTGGGATAATTGTTGTATAGATTTAGTGATGTTATTGATTGTATATTGGAAACTTAGACTCTACATTCGTTTGTATATCAATCATGAGAGTAACTATCTTATTCGACATAAGTCTTGCCTTTGATAGACCTTATCCGGCAGACCTCTCTTAGTATAGGAAGGTCAAGTGGTAGACCTAGGTCATATGTTATAAGGCCTTTCGGTAAATGTCTTATCATCTGACCTTGACCATGTCAGAAGTTCTATGTTAGAACCTGACACACCTTTGTCAAGGTCATCCGGTGAGAAGTACGGAGCGTATGAGGAATGTTTTTTGTTCATTTTTGATAAAAGTTATTGGACACACTCTCCAAAAACATTTGGCACCAATCATTAATTAATTCCATTTAGTTATTAATGACTTTATTTGTAAACATAACGATCATTTATCTATTGTGCCAAAAGTCTTAACCCATATTTAGGGTTTCAATTAATTGAAATAATTTCGGGTAACCATTAATTGTATTATGCAAATTTGATTAATTATTAATTATTTTGAAAAAAGTTGATTATTGATTAATTCAGTGAAAAAAAATTAATTCTCTGAATTAACTAATTTTTAAAAATTTCGATTATCAATTAATTCGTTTATAAGTCTTGATTGACGAAAATAGCTGATTGGTTAATTGAATTGCTTTTTGTGTGTGTATATATTTATTTATATTGATGTAATGACTATTTTGTGGTGTGAAACTATTGTTTAAAAATTTTTATCTTTTAAATTTTCATTTAAAGAACTTTAAATTTTACTACAAGATTTCAGCTAGGTTAATTGAAAAATAAGAAGTTCGTTTTGTTTTAAACGGTTAAAACATTTTACAAATTCGGATAGTTTAGTTCAATTATTAATTAAATTAGTACTCCTAATAATGTCTGGTAGAATTATTGATTTCTTGGTCACAAGGTGAGGACTTTGCATCCCAACCAGGGCATTAGAATCCTTTGTAACCAATAGTTGTGTCCCTTAACTTTTGAGATCAATAGATAAATCTTCTTTGAGTTGAGGCTAAATCTTTACAAAAAAGAAATGTAGAAAGCTAGAAGGAAGGGTAGATATATATTTGCAACCATTAAATTTGGTAGATGGTCAACTAACTAACTTCACTTTTTGTTAGTATGTACGAATGTAGCAAAAGTCATCGCATGCAGCAGCTTTTCACTAATAAATACCAATGAAAAGAAAGTTATCTAGCTTGCTTCGATCAATTTATTTATTTATTTATCAAGGCGGGGGATTGGCTAAAAAGTAAAAACCCAGCTACTGAACAAGATGATAGGGTTAATGAATAGCATGCAATAATGCAAATGTCATCAACTGAGAATACAAGAAAAAGACAATGCTCAAAAAGCAATGCTAATTAAGAGCAAGCTAAGCAGTAAAATTTTAGGAGGTGTTTTTACAGAGCCAACTATTAAAAATATTTTAATTCTTATAATAACATTAAAAAAAAAACATATTGAGTATTATTTAATACAATACTTTATGCAAAATTTTGATATAACTAGACTTTCCAATTAAGTATAAAACCTCCCATTTTATAATCTCACTTTCTATCCATCTAAAATGCAACATAATACTTTCTTTTCCTCTCTTTTTTTTTTTTCCATTTTAATTTTGTTATGGAACATTTGGTTCTCAAATTAAAATACAATAATAGAAAGAATTGGAATTAAGATTTGAAAGAAATGAAATTGAGAAGAAATATAATCCTATGGTTTGGTTTTTTAAAATGAAAAATACAAAATAAGAAATATAATATGCTAAAATAAAAATGAATAAATAATAAAATTACTGAAATACCCTTGACATCATTTTTTAAAAATGAATTTTAATGTGAAAATAAAAAAACAATGCCACATTCATCACTCTCAGCCGTAATAAAGTGAGAATGATAAGCAACTATGGTAATCATTTTTTGGCTGGGAAATGATATCCGACCATAGTTATCCACTTATCCTTGGTTGGATTGGAGAATGTTGGTCGGCAATTCTTCTTTTCCAACCAAAAGGAAAGACCATTAATTAACCAATCATTTTATATGGTTTAAAACAATATAATTAATGGTCATATTAAGCATTTTAATTTTTTTAAAATATAATTTAGTTTGTCTCTCTCTCTCTCTTTAATGATTTAGGATTCAAAATTATAATTCGATCACCTAGTTGAGAGTATTGAGGATTATGTCAAGATGACACTTATAGTAATTAGTATTAATATTGATGAGTGGGAAAATGGTCAATGGTAGGTAGATTTAGGGCTTTCTTTATCATGAAGTGGAAATGGATATTCATTCCTGACTTTGTAATTAAGCTATTGGGTGAAGGCTCAGAGGGTCAAACCCAACATGTTACCATCTAAACGTGACACTAGCTGCTATGAAAATAAAGTTGCACATTCGTTATTAGTTATAATTTTTTATGTTGGGGTGAACGTTTGGTCATAACAATATGCATACAGTGTAGTTAAAGTTGATATACTGGTGTTGGGACAAAGGCTTTGAGGGCAAAGTTTAATATCCTATTATCAAAATGTATTGCTGACTGCTGCGTAAATATAAAGAAATAAATCTATATTTCTTGGTCACATAATGCTGTTTTTCATAGATTTTTTCATAATTTTTAATTTTGTGGTCAAAACCTTTTTTTTTTTTTTTTTTTTTTTGAGATCACAAATAATTCATTAAGCGGTAATAAATAGCTAGCGGCAGCTCTTTTTTTGAAACGAAGGCTAAAAATGGGAAAAGGAGAAAGTTTAAAGTTTTACCACTTTTGACTGAACAACACACGCTGCATTCAATTTTGGCGATAGTGAACACACAAACTTCAGTACACCATTGCTACAACTTTGCAGCTTTTCCCCATCCAAAAGAAGAGAGGCATTCAAATCTTGTGAATTTTAGAATTTCATAAATCAGGCATTATATATAATTAACATATTCCTAATTCTCAGATAAAAAATTTAATGTATTTGCATATGGGTCAGCACATTAGACACATGTGACTTGCTTTGATACCAATTGTCTGATTACCGCTAGCTATGTCAACAGTTATAATTAGTAGCGAATGTACAACATTATTTCCTTATAAAGTATACCTTGTTTAATTATCAACATGTTTCGATTATAGGATGTCTGGTTCAACTCTCCAAGTTGCCACCCAATTCAACACTAATTACTCTCATAAGGAAATTTTGTAACAAAATTATTTTTAAACAAAAATGATACTACGACCATGTTTATTTCAATTGTTCAATTTTTTTCTCTAGTTAGTAAATTCATCTTACTTGCATTGCGTTAAAATTATTTTCACTAAATTACACGACTATGGGTTTTGAGTTATAAATTTGTGATTTCAAAAACAAAATTAATTGGCAAATAAAAAAGAAAAAGTAATGCACCCGGCCTCCAAAATTTTCTCCTCAGGACGGATATGATACATTTTCATTGGAAGCCTTTGATAATAAGTTAAGAGTGGCCAATCAATTCACGACGCCCAATTGTTATAAACTATGTCATGAGGAATTTTAATTTAAGAAGAAAAAAAAAATTGAAGCCGAAAAAGACATTTTTCATAAAGAAAAATATAATGATTATTAAGAAACTAAAAAAACACTATTACAAAAAGGAATATGGGCATCGCCCGAGTTAAAATCTAGTTTATTGATCAAATGAGACAAAAGAGCATATTATATTATTATATAAGAACCAAAAAGAAAAAAGAAAAAGAAAAAAAGGGTAGTAGCTAAGTAGATGTAACATTCTTCCCAAATTTTACCTCTATAACCTGTTGAACTGTTCATGCGTATGAAACATAATTCTAGTATCAGAAGTGTCTTTCTAATGCGATTACCATAAAATATAATTTAAAACTTTTAAAACAAATAAAATTTGTTTAAACAATGAGATCTAAAGTAGTCACACCGCATCCAAGTTAGTCAAATTGTTAGGCTATGTAATCACAATCTAGGTTACAAGTTCGACTCTCAATATGAATGACTTATTGATCTTTTCGGTTTGAGTTGACAAGCTATGGACAACCTATATTAGTTTACCTGATTTAAGGCTGCTCCATATCTAAAACCAATGATCAAATTCTTAACTTTTGATTAAAGATAGATGAGTCACTTCCACTCAACCGCACCCCAATTCTTAACTTTTGATTAAAGATAGATGAGTCTCTTCCACTCAACCGCACCCCAGTGGGAAAGAGTATATACATACATTTAAACCCCCCCCCCCCCCCAAAAAAAAAAAAAAAAAAAAAAAAAAAAGCTTATACAAAGTAAATCCAAACCCTATTGCCTGCTGGCCTCTGCGAGAAAATATAAAAAGAAGAATAAAAAAGCTAACAGGTATGACCACATATTATTATCATATCTTAACTAGGACTAGCTGCAAGCCATGCTACCCAATCACTCCATCTATCTCTCCTCATCATCATCATCTTCTTCTTCTTCTAAGCTTAAATTCTTTTCCCAAGAAATCCGCCATGACTGCACCACCACCAAAAGGAAAAGAAAGCCTGCTGGAACTCCAGGTTAATTAATCTTTCTTTTTTAATATAATTTATTCCGATTCCGGGCTAAAAAAATATTGGGTTTTGTTTCCAATTGTTAGGTTGATAATAATCTATAAATTTTTTGCAGATCCTAATGCGCAAGTCATATATCTGTCCCCTGAGAAGCTAATGGAATCGGACCGGTACGTGTGCGAAACGTGCAACATGAGCTTCCACCGGGAGCAGAATCTGCAGATGCACCGGCGGCGGCACAAGGTGCCGTGGCAGCCGCAGAAGGCGGCGGCGTGTTCGCCGCCGCAAGAGGTGGCGCGGAAACGCGTGTACGTGTGCCCGGAGCCGAGCTGCGTGCACCACGACCCGAGCCATGCGCTGGGGGATTTGGTCGGGATAAAGAAACACTTCCGGCGTAAGCACTGTGACCACAAAGAATGGGTTTGCGAGAAGTGCGGTAAAGCCTACGCCGTCCTCTCCGATTACAAAGCTCACCTCAAAACCTGCGGCACAAAAGGCCATTCCTGCGACTGCGGTCGCGTCTTTTCTAGGTTTGTTTCATTCAATTCTTACAAACCCAAACCCAAAAAGCACAACTTTCGAAGATAACTATGTTCCACTGCACAGACATCTCGGAATCAGTAGCAATAGCTTCGCTAGATTCAAGAAAACTTTTAAGGAATCAAGCTATGGGTACATCTCATCTGATCTATATATTGACCACCCTTCCAAAATTAACTTGAAGACCAGATTTTGGGGGGTTTTGATTTGTATTATGCATGATGTATTCTGTTAATTGATTCTTTAATTCTTTATTATGATTCCATTTTAGGGTTGAAACTTTTATTGAGCATCAAGATTCATGCAAGCCGCCAAAGAGTTTCAGAGAAAGAGAAGCTCCAAAGCAATCAGCCATCAACTTGAATTTGATGAGTTTAGAGCCAAGAATCTTCCATCATCAATATGACAATAATAATATGATGATCATCAATAATACTTTCTCTCACCATCATCAGAAGCTTGAAGAACTGGAGTTATTTCCACCTTCAAACTCATCATCAAAACCATTTGCTGCAAGTACCCAAACCCCCATGGATGAAGAAGAAGACGAAGAGGAGGCGTCGTTAGAAGCACTGAGACTGAAGTTTGAGGCGGAGGAGATGATGAAAGTGGCGATGGAGAATAAGGCCATGGCTGAAGAGAGGAGAAAGGAAGCAAAGTATTTGTTTGAACTGGCGAATCAAGAAATGGCAAAGGCCAGGAGAATCAGAGAACAAGTCTGGTTGGCTGACCTCACCACCTCTCATCTCCTTTCAGACCACTGCTCAACATCATCATCATCATCAACCCAAATAAGATGCAATTCTTGCAGCAAACAACTTCAATAATCTCAACAACCTACCTTATTCTATGTTTCTCATCAGCTACCACTCAAATTAAATATATATAAGGTGAAAATGGGTGCAAGCTAAGAACAGTACGTACGTGTAATGTTTTTTTTTTTTTTTTTTTGGTTGCATATTCTGTGAATCAATTAAGGCTGTCTTTTCTTAGACATAGTCATGTTGGTATTCCTGTTCTAGTGATCTGCAGGCTTCGCTTGCTTTTCTTCCCTACTATATACATGCAGGTACCCTAATTTATCGCTTTCTGGAAGAATATATATAATCTATGGATATAATATATATATATATTAGATGTTTACCAAGTTTTTTCATACAAATTTACACAGGATGGCATATTTGTATTTGATTGTTAATTTATCCTACTTCCAAACCAAGTTAAACTATGCTACTGTGCTTGAGCTGATTCTGAATTAGTCTGTGGAAGGATACCGGATGCTATAAGAAATTTTTTTTTTTGGGGTAATATGTGCATGTATAATATGATTAATCTCCGTCCTCTACTGAATCATTCTTCCCAAAATTTACCCTTGTGACCAACTAAGCTGTGGTTAGCTCCTCTATTGAATCATGAATCAGTCAATAGACAACTACTGGTCGATTTCAATTGTCGCATAAAAGAATATGAAACCATGCAGGTGCTCTGCTCACTGTGGCCTGGACCATTTTTTTTTCTCTTAAGACGACATTAAATATTCAAATTTAAAATTTCAGACATGTACAAATTCAGTCCATTATTGTATGCATACTAATGCATGCCTCAAAAAACAGGTAGTCAATTAAAAACATTAACTTAAAAGAAGGTTTAAGTAGTTTAAATATCATGTCTAGGGTTCAAACTTATATATATATATATATATATGTGTGTGTGTGAACTCCAAACCTAAGGTCCCCTCACATCGCCCTAAAAATTTGTGAGAGGAGGTAAATGGTGCAGTGATATGAGTTTTTGTACACCCTGTGCGGAATTCGACTCTAGGTGCTTGTATTGGATATTATTTCAAACCTAGTCACTAATGCACATAGACAACGGTTTTTCACCGTTGTCCTAGCGGTAAAATTTCTGTTGTTGAAGCCAGTGTTGTTGTAAGCCCCCGCATAGACAACGATTTTTAACCATTGTTTTTTCTAAAAACGACAACGGTTTTTGAACCATTGTCTATTAAATATTGTTGAAACCGGTGTTGTTAAAAGTCACGTACATAGTCTATCAAGTACCCCGGGACTTCAGATCAAACTCAAATGTACATATATGATAACTCTTGACAGAGATCTAGCTGAATGGGTTTCATTGAAACCCAATTGGATTAAAACTTGAAAAGTGTTAACATCGTGGGGCTACACTTTAATGTAGAAGCTAGCTGGCTAATACATGGGTGTTGGTGATGATGATGAGGAGAAGGAAGAGATAAGTAAGTATAGGTCGGTAATTAGGGTTTGTAGTATATATGTATGTGTGTATATTACAATATTATATAATGTATGTATATATATGTTGGTCTTGTGTCGTTATCAAACTTAACGTTCCAATTTTAATGCCAGAATTAAAAGCTGCATGTTTTTCAGTGCCATAATATGAGAGTCCACAGCAGCTCAAGTCCCTCTCAAAAGCAGACAACTGAGTACCCACCACACCATCCTCCCCGACCTCTTTTCCTTTTCTCAGAAAACCCATTATTCACAGAGCTAGGTTGCACAGAAGAAATCCATCACTTTAAATCTGAGTCATTCAAGGGGTACTTTTGTCTTTCTGCAACCTCTTTCACACTTCCCGGCCTGTCAATCTTACATTTTTACTTCCCATTTGGATTTTTTTACATTAAACTAAATAAACTCGCCCACAAGTGGCAGAGATCACAAGTTGCCACAGACCGCCGAGACACAACAACGTACATGTTGACTAGCTAGTAAGTTTATATATATAAATATAAATATAAAATATATATGTGTGGTGGGGTTGGGAATACTACTTATGTGTCTTTGGTACCAATACTCAAAAGTCAGGACCATCTTGTAGATTACATGGAGTATAATTGGAAATTATATATTATCATTTAGGACTTTTAATGTGAGTTAGTAGGGTGGGTCTTCTATTTGGCGAGGTGGGCAGGGCAGATCGACCCACCAATAACATGAATACGTGACTATTTCAAATACCATTGAAAATCATTACCAAATATTAATATTATGTATAGTATCATTATATTGATATCCGTAATGATGTGATTGACATCGATGCAAAAAGAGCATCAGTGTCAATTAACATAAATGACTTTCTCATATATATGTGGGGAAAATTTTGGGTGTCTTTTATTCCAAAGCCATCATGCTAATAATATAAAGGAAGTAATTTTAGGAGAAGTCATTTTCTTTTCCTTCTCTATTCAATTAATTTGACAATAAATTAACTTTAGGGAGAAAAAAATATTTTGTAGTTTATTTTTCCTCTAAAAAAATAATTTTCAAAAAATAGTTTATTTTTTGGTATTTGGTTGAAAGTTAGAAAACAATCATTTTTTTTATTTATTTGGTTAGATTTTTATTTATTTTTTACTATTTGATTCATTAAAAAAACATGAACATAAATCATTAAATCAATTACTAAGTTATTTCTTATAAAATGTTAATTATTTTAAAGATGATAATAATAATTATTATTATTTATATTGAAATAAAATTATAAACTAAAATTTATAATATTTATAAAGATTAATAGTAATTTTAGTAAAAAGATGTAAATAAATAATTGTTCACTTGTAACTTATTATAATAAAAATAAATACATACATTTATAAATATATTAGTTATGAATTAAAGATATTGAAGAAAACAATTTTAATATGGAGGCAATAATTAATGGATCATACCAACGATAAAACCGAATTAATGTAGAAAAAATATGGAAGAAATATAATATTGAATTAATAGGGTCCAAGACCCTTAAGAATAAAATGTTTGGACTATAATGGAGTAAATAGTTAAAAGATCATGAACCTAGGCCGAATGGCCCAACCCACTGTCAGACTAACAAATCAACAAGGCAAATTGCATTGTTGACTGGGTGGAGAAATCAAACGGAATTTAATTTGTTGTGCTAAAACAACCAATTAACTTATATGAACAATGATTAAAATGTTCAGAATAAGTTGCGTGGAATAAACACTTATGGAGACAGAGGGAAGCATCCATGCAGTCACTTCAATAACAAATTCACAATATATTTGAGTGCAAAATTTTTATTAATGAGATAAATGGATAATATAATTAATGAATTTAAACTAATACAAAAAATTAGATGCATTTCGCTCTACCACTATCAGAGTCGACCTATAGGTCATATATTGACCCATGAGCATAGCCTAATTGGTCCAATTAATAGAGCTTCACAAATTATATTGTGAATTATGATCTACATTACAATGCGAATCACTGATAATTGATAAATATTTGTTCATTTTTTATATATAGAATATTTATTTTAATATGCTTTAGGTTTATTTTAAATAGTATATTAAAATGAACTTACAATATAATAAAAATGAATATTTAGGACACTAAATAGGTTCACCGGCCTATTATATTTCTATATCCACGTGATTTCTCGCTACTATCATGTATATATAAGGATAATGTAGATTTTTTTTTTTTTTTTTGGTGTACTTAGGATCCCCTCGTTGAATTGTAGTGCCTATTGTGTGGGACAACTGTCATGAAGATTGTAGACACCTCTATTTGGTGGGTCGAATCATTGTCGTTTTGTTAAAGGATGGATGAACCCCTTCAATTCCACTCAACTACACCCTCAAGTTTAAGGATAATGTAGATTAATCTTGAAACTTATTATATATACATAGAGAATTTCATACTTGTGTTAACAGACGGCAAGATTCCCGGAAGGTCAGAAGAGGGCAAGTTCATTACTAGGCATCTATAACAGAAGTTACTTTGGTGTTCCTTAAACATACATTTGTATTGGACGAAGGCTGCTAAGTCTAACATCTTACTATCAAAACGTAACACTAGTTATTATAATAATAATAATAATAATAATAATAATAATAATAATAATAATAATAATAATAATAATAATTGTACATGTGTTTTATTCTTCTTCTTCTTCAACAAAAAAAAAAAAGTAATATTAATTAATTTCACTACTAACTATAGTTTTTGTTGTATTAATAAACATTATATTAGAGTAGGTTACAGATTTGAATAAATGTAGTATCTTACCACTAAAACATGGCTTGTTCCTCACAATTTATCAATATAAAACTATTAAACGGAGTTAATTGATTGAATTAAAGACACAATTAAGAGATGATTTTTTTTATACGTTGAAGTAACCCAAGATTTACATCGTCAAACACATATCCGAAATCAAAAATTGATTCCTTGATATTTAATTTGGTTAAGAATGCATAAATGATAAATCTCTTCCAGTCAATCATACTGCAAGTTAGCAATAACATAATGATGGATATCTTTATTATTAACTTGAAGAATAAGCATGCATTATATTACTTCTTTACAACATTAGTAGGCATGTTGATTTTGGAATGATGACCTAACTATATGACATGCCTACATTAATAATATATCCCTTTTGAAAAGATGTCAAGACTCAAGAGCTGACCAGAAAGGAAAGATTACCTTCCACCTCTTTTTCTATAACAGATTTAACAATTTCTAAAACAACGCTCGCTTTAATTTGCATTTTGCATGCCTTGATTTATACTAATCACCTCTTTAATTAGCGCTAAACTAATTTCTTCTCATATTGAATCCCAGTCCCAATCTCAAATGTCTCCACACCCTAGCCCGATACAGTGAGAATGTAAATCATAGTGACTCAATGGTATAACAAACAAGGCTAAATATTGATGTGCACAAAGGATCTGTCCAACCGAGGCTCGAACATTAATCTTTTCTCTCAAATATTGTTTAATGAATCAGTGAGCTAAGCCAGTGCGGATAACGCTAAACTAATTTGGCCTGCACTGTTTGCCGTTAATATGAATCAATACCTACAGTTGCAGACAAAAATTAATGATGAAAAACATCAGTGACCGATGTCTAAGTCGTCGGTTAAGCAGCATAGTATTTTACAGGGCGTTTGGTTGGAGGGGGGAATTATGTGGGAAAGAAATTGTAATTTCATGGGAGTTGAATTACTGAGAATAAAGTGAGAATTTAAATTCCAGTGTTTGGTTGACAGGAATAGAATTACTAGGAATTTCAATTCCAATGTTTGGTATACATGAGAATTGAAGGGAATAAGTAGTATAAAGTCAAAAATATCCATTATTGTTGTTAAACATTAATTTTAGGTTAAAAAAGAAAGGGATAATTTTGACTCATCACTATTTTTTTTTCCCAGGAATTAAAATACCAGGGGGACATGAGATTTTAATTCCATGAAAACGGAGGAATTGCAATTCTCTCCAACCAAACTACGGAATTTAATGGCCTTTGGAATTATATGGGAATTAAGTGGGAAGGGAATTTAAAATCCCTCCAACCAAACGCCCTGTTAGTGGCTGAAAGTGGCACTTAATCTAATCCCATTGTTTCAAAATAATCGATCATAAAAGTAAAATTTCTTTACTTATATATATATATATATATATTGCATTTCGATCAAGTCTATTATATTCCACATATATTCAAGCGTGCTGGTAGTACGTGTTTGGTAAGTTATACAACATATATTAGTCATGACGATAGTACTTAATATTCATTGAAATTACATTTAACTATTCATCAACTTTATAGTAAAAACAAATCATCGTATTTATACATTCAAAAAAATCATCGTATTTATTTTTAATTAACATTTAGCAAGACTCGCCAAAATTGGCCAATTAATTTCTTGTTTTTTACCCCTTTGGGTACATCATTTAATTAGGATATATGTGACCGGATTTAAACTTAAATCTATTACTTAAAAAGAAATGTAACTATTGTAACTTTGTATGTGTGTGAATGACGATGATTATGATACGGACTTAAATATGCCTCCTACCGTTAGGGTCTGCTCATGACACATCATAGTTTGACAAAAAAAAATCGGTTGCACTATATGTTAAAATATTTCTGGTTAGACTTTCACCTGAGTAAGGGTCAAAGGCCGCAGATGTAATTCGAATCAAATATGAATTAGTTTCATACAGTTAAAATACAGACTGCTGGTTGGAAAAAAAAAATTGTAACTTATTATCATATGGTGAAATATATATTTTCAGCATGGGTTTATTTTTTTTAAGCATACCTGATTCTTTACAAAGTAGTATTCTGGGTTTTTATGTGATCACCCATTTAAAATGGTAACAAATGTGTCATCACACTACATTGTATATGACTGGACGGGCCAATTAAAAACATATCAAATCAGGGTTGTTAACAGTTATATGTTTTAATGATGTTTTCTTGAATAAAACCCCACCAGATCAAGACACCTGGGATTATCTTAAACCATAAGCCATGTTAAACACAGTTTGAAAAGGAAGACGAAAACACAGATTATATATTATATCTTAGTCACTCATCAGTAGTGTAAAAGAAACGTGATCATGAACGTAAGAAAATGAGAATTTTATATGTGTTATTGCAAAGAAGTGTGTGAATGAGAGGGAGATTTAATCTGAAAGTTTGGTAGAAGAGAGCTCACAGATTGCTAAACGTGCTGGCGATGGAACAACAACAACTGATTTAATTTCGTAAGACAGATACAAATCTCCAAACGTTTTACCACTCAGCTCCTAAGATCATTGTGTCCTTCCATGCATATATAAACCCAACTATGTTCATTTATACTTATCATCTCATTCATCTCATATAGCTTCAACACACACACACACACACATACATCTATACTCATCAGCTAATAATAGTAATTATTATCATATACCATGGAGAGTCCAAACAGAAAATCCACTCAAAAGGTCAGTAATATATATGAATTAATTTGCTCTAAATGATGGGTTTAATTAACAAAAGTTTATTATTTGGAGCTTTAATTTTAATGTATTAATTAATCAAATAAAAATATATATTTTTTGGTTGCATGCAGCTTGCAAGGAGCGGTCCAACTTCTCCAGTCTCATCAACTCCTAGATCAGTGAGACTCAATTCACCTCAACAGTCATTCAAGAACCAGTCTGGGGTAAATTAAAATATAGAAAAGATTACCATTTAATTTATTAAATTCAAAATTGAAATTATTAGAATAATGCATATTTTAAAAAAATTAAAAATGATATCAATGAAAGATAGTGTTATGTGTATATAACAAGAGTTATTTTTCCACTAAGGGGTGAATACTCTATTATATTTGTACTGATTCATGTATGAGATTTAAATAAACAAAATACAATTTTTTTACGTGTCATATTTAACTTATTAAAAATCATTCTAAGTAACTCATGAGTTTACTATTTCCTATAAGTCCTTGTCATAGTTAAACTTTAAAATGTATTTTTTTTTTTTCTTTTTTACAGATGAGAGATGAAGCAAAAGAGCGCCAAGTTGACAAAAATAAGGTAAATCAAACATATCAATTCTTAAACATTAAAACAAAATTAGTTATATAATACTGTAATTAACTTAGAGACGACTATGGTGTCAGCAGAAGTCCTTGGTGAAGGAAAGCACCAAACCACAGGACATCAAACTCCATACTCAGCAAAGGGCAATCAAACGTTCCGTGTTCAACTACTCGGTCAGTGTTAATTTAATTAAATCTTGGTCATTTTTGTCAATAATGTGATATAATTTAAACTTTTTGTTGATACTTTCGTCCCACTTAACGAGACAATAAACTATCAAGAAATCATAAGCAGACATTCAAATTTTGTAATACATGAAACATAAATAGCATATAATAACTAGTTAAGTTGCAGTATTATTTTGGGGTTCAATTCTAATACTAAAGTGCAGGTGGCAACAAAGCTGTACATAATGGAGCAGCAAAAGAAGCATCTAGAGAAGATTCAAAAGGTATAAAAAAAGTCATATCAGATCATGCAGGACAAGCACTGTTTCACATAGTTACAAAAAAAAACAAAAAAAAAAAAAAAAAAAAAAAAAAAAAAAAACAAAACAAAACAAAAAAACAAAAAAAAAAAAAAAAAAAAACAAAACACAATACATGAACTCCCATTCTCTGCTTCTGGGCCAACTTTTACTTCCACACTTAAAATTTTGATGTATACACTTTTACTATGTCCACACGAAAAATCGACTGAAATCAACTTTTAAACTGCATCCGTCACATCAGTGAGTAAAATCGAGGGAGTAAAAATTGAGAGTACATGTAGTAGAACTCCATAGTTAATTATATGAGTTTTTTGACAGATGATTGAAGAAGAAGAAATCCGTACTCTAAGAAAAGAGATGATTCCGAGGGCTCAGTTAATGCCCTATTTTGACAGACCTTTTTACCCCCAAAGGTACCTTACACGCTTAGTTTCGGGTTCTTAAATCGACTGAAATCAACTTTTAAACTCGGATTTTGATCCGAGAGGCGTGTATATCATTATTATATTATGCAATATGTGTGTGTTTCAGGTCAACTAGGCCTTTGACTGTTCCAAGAGAGCCAAATTTGATGAGTGGGAAATGCTCAAGCTGCATTTCATGCAGATCAATGAACTTCTCAATTCTGAACACGATGAAGCCTGCTGTTAAGTGACTCCCATCTCACCACCTAATTCATGATGGGTGGTAATAATTGGCAACTTTTTATTTTCACTTTTTTTCCCACTATAGGTACGTGATGGGATATTGTCACATTTTTGACGTGTGGAGCACGTTGTACTATACATCAAAGGGGCTTGAGTTGAGTTGAGTTTAATTACTTGCTTGAATAAACAAACAGGGCTACGTTTGTGTTGTAATTACCAGAGATTTGCATTTCTGGTATACGTAGGATTATTGGACTTAGCAACTTTTGTAGATCAGAGGAATATAATGTACTGTACGTACGTAGATTATTATGGATATTCAATTCCTAGGAGAGGAGGGTGGCTTCATGTACCATGTTAGTAGTTATTAGAAGCCAAGTAGGGTTTGCAGTTTGCGTTCTTTAATTTGCACCTTGTAATTACTCCGTCTTTCTTGTTCGATAATAAATGGAATGTATCTGCCTCTTTAATTTCTCCATTCATTTATGTTTTAGTAGATTGATGACAGTTTTTTTCAATACTCCAATGATTTAATAATCTCTGGTAGTCTAATTTGTGGTTATCAAGTTAATAATCTGATCAACTTATCACAGTTGTTTCTATAATTTTATTATTATTTTTATTATAATTAAGTATTTTTAATAATTATATTTGTTGGATATGATACTGATAGATTGGCATTGGTTAGTCAATGAGAAGTCTGATTTCTTTTTAATGGGAGTTTGCGCAAAAATATACAATTCAGTGTTATGTGACGCTAAAATTCATAAGGTCAAATATATAATCCATCGAAGCAAGTATTAAAAAGAAAAAGCAAATGTGATTTTCCTATAATTGGGCATTCAAGAACATTTGAATCAATCTGAATCTGAACCTAGTTCTAAACTTATTGATCTATAATTGAGGCCCAATAAGCCCATTCCCATTTTTCGCAATAGTTATGCTGTGAAAACGTGTTTACCATACGCATAATGAACACAGGGATAAATCTATAATTTATATACTGTAGATTCATATTTTTTTTTTTGAAAACGTAAATTCATAATTTTGTTTTTCATTTATTGTTAACGGGATTCATAATTTCTATACTGTAGATTCATAACATCTATACTGTAGATTCATAATTTCTATACTATAAATTCATAATTTCTGTACTGTAGATTCATAATTTCTATACTGTAGATTCATAATCTCTGTACTCTGCTAGATTCATAATATTTGTAACAACAAATGAAAAAACAAAATTATGAATCTACGTTTAAAAAAAAATTATGAATTTACAGTATAAAAATTATGGATCTACCCCTGTGTTTACCATGCGCATAGTGAACACGTTTCCACAACATAATTTGCGTATTTTTGGGTCTTCACCCAAGAAGATTTCTTGCTACCAATTAATGATTATTTATATTTACATTTTATGAGCATTTCTACTATTGGTTGTTTGTTTAGAAATTTATTATATATTATCAATAACATGTGTATTACTTTTTAGTATTTTGTTGAAATAAATTATGTTATTCTTCTTTTGAATACTATTAAGTATTCTTCAAAAAAAATTATTACTTATAAGAATGTTTGGTTTGATGACAACTTATACATCATGATATGGGCACGACAAGCCTCCTAATCCTGTGGCATCTTGTCCGTACTTTCAACCCATTCCCCACAATTCAATTTTTAACAGCAGCATTATTATTTAAAGTCTACTATTTAAATTTTAGCTTGTATTGTTTATTTTTTTATTTGGTTATCTCAAGCTTTATAAATATCATGTTGGATCCAGTATTCAAATAATACTAATATTATTATTTTTATACCTTTATTTTAACATTCATATTCAATTTATAATAGATTCGGTCCCAACAAAATCATGACATGAATATGATCTTTTTATAACGTGGGTACAGAAAAAAGTTATGTACATGAAATTCATGAGAGTATTAGAGCAAATGTTCGGATTTTACTTTCATATTCAATTTATAATAGATACGGTCCCAACAAAATCATGACATGAATATGATATTTTTATAATATGGTTACAGAACAAAGTTATGTACATGAAATTCATGAGAGTATTAGAGCAAATGTTCAGATTTTACTTTCATATTCAATTTATAATAGATTCGGTCTCAACAAAATCATGACATGAATATGATATTTTTATAATGTGGGTACAGAACAAAGTTATGTACATGAAATTCATGAGAGTATTAGAGCAAATGTTCGGATTTTACTTTCATATTCAATTTATAATAGATTCGGTCCCAACAAAATCATGACATAAATATGATATTTTTATAATATGATTACAGAACAAAGTTATGTACATGAAATTCGTGAGAGTATTAGAGCAAATGTTCGGATTTCAGAGTAAATATAGTACTACAGTGTTACCGGTGACTTGTGGTCCACTGGTATCGGATTGCTCCCCTATGTGGGAGGTCTAGGTTTCGAGCCTCGTGTAGGCATAGGTTGTATGGGTATCCCCCTTCCTTTGTAATAAAAAAAAAAAAAAATAGTATTACAGTGTTTTCATTTGGAGAATCTCAAAACTTGTCCCCACACATAAGTGTATGACACGTACGTTGTCTTCTTATAATCATTACGACATCTTTTTTTTTTTTTTTTTGAGAACTTTAAAAATTTATTAATAAAGAAAGATAAGAAGGAAACCAACATTCCAAGTAATAATATCTCAACACGCATACAGCTTCCTCAAAGTTATACAGCTATATATATCTAGACATTACATGGATAATTTCACCAATACCCTCAAAGGTTTGTATAATAACACTTGAAACCCCTTTATTTTCATTAGTTTCTCATATATAACCACATTAGTCTCCATCTACGTACGCACGTATACGAGATTAGATTAAAAATGAAAAGGGTAAGAGTCAAATAAGCCCTCTAAGTATATTTAATTTTGTAGGTTACATTCAGGTAATCTGTAAATTATTTATTAATTTTTTATTTTTTTGCCAAAGTACCAATTTTTTTTTTACTTCCCCAAGAAAACAAATCAATACATCACAGTATAGAAAAGAGAAGAAAAGAATGAAAATTGATGAAAACGGCCTACTTATCATCTCCATAGTTACACTCTCATATCATCATTTATCACCAACGATGGGTTTCTTGCAATGCAGAACCGCCTCGTGGATCGAGCACTCGGAGTCGCAAAATCGGTGCCAATTATCAATAGAGTAGGTCACTGCGCTTTGTCTAGTTGGTTGAAACCACGCCAGAAAATTCATATATCTTCCTCTCCTCCGTTCTAGAGCTTCTTCGTCCGTACGTGAATCCGAATCTTCGCAGTTTCGACAAATCGGCATAATTACGTCCAAATACTTGCAGAAGATCCGCCTGGATAATCTTTCACATCTTTTCAACGTGGCGCAACGAATTTCGTCGAATGAATGGACCTGATCTTGTTTGGTAGGTTGTTCAGGCGAATCGAAAGTGCAATCGAAGGAGTCATACTTGATAGGTTGGGCGAATAGAGGCGCGAGGAAGCCATTGGCATGAAGGAGTGTCAATGGAGATTCCGACACCAAAAAGTTGAAGTTGCTAAACGTCGGGAGGTTAACACTAACACTGAAGAATCTCCAAGAAAGAGGGAATGTAGGATCCATTTCAATGAATGAAGCTTCATCGGAGTTCGGGAAAGATCCTGGATTCACCGACCAACTGGAAGAAAATTTAATTAATAAATATTTACAGGTTACCTGAAGGTAACCTACAAAATAGTGTAATTGCACTTTTTTTTTGTAAGTTTAAGGTTTTAATTGAAACTTTTACATATTTGAGTATAGTTGGAGTACTTATTTGACCCTTATTCAAAAGGAAACAATGCAAATTTTTTTACAAAAAGTGTGGCAGGGGCCATGCGTACTTAACGAAAATACATATGCCAAAGTGAAATTGTGAGGAAATTGAGGGGCTCCATTTGAAATAACCATCTAGTCTAGAGTTTTTTTTTTTGAAAAGATCTGAGTCTAGAGAATAAATTCCGCATGTTTCTAGTTCCTTCCACGCAGCTATTTTCTGCTCTATATATAAAACGAAGCTCCCATTCTAACTAAGTCAGTCGACCCTGGAGAAAGAGCAAATAACAAAAAGAAGAAGAAATGGCGAAGGCGCGGTCGGTTGGGGTGGCAATGGACTACTCTGCAACAAGCAAATCAGCTCTGAAATGGGCAATTGAAAATCTGATAGCGGAAGGCGATCGAATCGTCATCATCCACGTCGTCTCCCCCAAAGCCGACCCAACCAACAAGCAGCTCTTCGAGGACACTGGATCTCGTACGTGCTACCTCTCCAAATCCTTAATTTAATCATCTATCTTCCATTTTTGTTTCTTAATTGTTTGTTTTCTCCTGATCCTTGAATTAATTTTGCAGCCTTGATTCCTCTGGTGGAGTTTAGAGAGATGGATGTGTGTAAGAAGTATGGACTCACCCCTGACCCTGAGGTTCTTGACATGCTTGATACTGTGTCGAGGCAGAAAAAGGCTGTGGTGGTGGCTAAGGTATACTGGGGAGATGCAAGGGACAAGATATGTGATGCTGTGGATCATCTCAAGCTTCACTCTCTTGTGCTTGGAAGCAGAGGTTTAGGAGTCCTTAAGAGGTAAACCACAATTCAATTAGTAAAACCATCAAAGTCGATAACTTAATTAAACATAAAAAGTAATTTGAATATTAACTTCGAAATTTATAGTAAGGTATAAAAGTTGCAATTAAACTCACCTCAGTATATTTAATTTAATTTGTGTTGGTCCAAATTAAAAACATTATTGAGAATGAAGGGTGGTGTGTATTTGTTGTATATATGGACAGGGTGTTGCTTGGGAGTGTGAGTAACTACGTGGTGCAAAATGCTACATGTCCGGTGACGGTCGTGAAAGAACCATCCAAGCGCTAAGGTTGTTCCAACTATTAAAGCAACTCATCATATCAACATTCATATAATGTATCATACATGTCTATCTTGTAAACTTTTATGGATAAAGCAGCCTCTTATGTATCATTCCGACTTTCAAGTTTTGTACTTGTGTTTGATATGGTTTTCTAAAGATTATTTATAGTTCTTGCATGATTGAATATTATTTTGTATCCTTCATGTTCAGTATATATATTTCATTATACTAATTTGTTATTGTTTCACTTTACTATGTGAGTTGATGATTAAACTAGCCATATGAATATATGGGTGTAGAGGTGTGTTTAAGAATCTCAATGGAGCGAGGATGGAGATATATATCTCACTCGTATCCTATTTTATTATATTATTCATTTGGGTGTGATTACGTAACCTTAGCTAAATGGAGTGCATGTATAATTTATTTTTATTTTTATTTATCTATAGGTGTGTTTTTTAAAAACTAAGTTAAAAACTCAATGCGTATTTTATTACTCATTTGGGTGCGATTAGCCGATTAGGTAACCTATCAAGGGCATGTATAATTTTGTATTCATAGGTGTTTTTTTTTTTTTTTTTTTTAACTTAATGGATTAACAGGTTGTACGGAATCCTTGTAATTTAATTACAAGGAAGAAAATATATAATTAATCTAGAGTGTGATTGAGTGGAAGTCACTCATTCATTTTTAATCAAAAGTTAATGATTTGATCTTTGATTTTAAGTCTGAAACCCTTCAGATCAATTCTGTTTGATAGTAAAACTCTTGGGTAAAAAAAAAAATACACTAAAATAAGAGTTCAAACTTTTAGCTATTTTTTTTTAATCTTCATAAACTGTCTCCCGTAAACTGTAAAAAAAATCTCTCTGTCTCTCTGATCTGCCCTCCCAAACCTTGCATATTGTCGTAGTGTGGCCGCCGGTCACTGGTCGATTCTGTCCTTAGCCGACGGTCTCATACTTTCGTAGTTCTTTTTATTTTGTTTTTTTTTTTTTTTAGTTTCACAACTTCCAGCACCAAATCTAATCAAGAGCCGCTCACCATTGTCAACGCTTATCTTTCAACAAAAAGGGAAAAAAATGCTTTGTGTCAGTGTTCTTTTCTTGAATCTAGGTAATGCATGATTTGCGTTCTGAAAAAAGGACAAAAAGTTTTGTGCTTTGATCAATGATAAGAAGGCGTGGTGTTTTCTTGACAGGAGAAGGCGTGGAGTTTTGTTTTGTTTGTTTGTTTGTTTGTTTGTTTTTTTTTTTTTTTTTTTTTTTAAATCTACATATATGTGTTTTTCATTTTTTTTTCATCATTTATTTTGATAAGTTATTTCCTCTTGCTTCTTTGGCGAGTTATTCCCTCTCGTTTCTTTGGCGAGTTCTTTTTTCATTAAGGTGAAACGATTTAATTGATCACGACGAGTTATTCCCTCTCGTTTCTTTGGCGAGTTCTTTTTTTCATTAATGTGAATCGATTCAATTGATCATGTCGTATGTTTATCTCATCCTAAGTAACGAAGATATACAGTTCAGATTAATGAAGATATTGTCTACGAACAGAAGAGCCGCAATAGTTACTCAGGTGGTATGCAAGACTTCTCAAACAGAGTCAGTCTTGGATAATCAGATCATTACTAACATAAAAAAGTTCTGGTTCCTCCAATGAATTAAATTTCAATCTTGTAACACAGTTTGCGATTCAAGTTTCTTTTAACATTGCTATAAAAGTTATTTATATGTCTGACTCTAAATAATGTTTTATCATTCTATTGATCTTTATTGTAACTGCTTCAACTTATGATTAATGAATTAACTCTTTATTTTAAAAAAAAAAGTAACGAAAAAAAATTCAACCGTTAATCGATGCCTTAATTTGGATTTTGGAGCGAATTTAGTTTCCCCGCCAAACGAGCTCTTACAAGTAGTTCAAGTGTGCAATAGCCGGAAATTCAGAGTAGTCATTAGACCGGCAGCCATGAGGCCTTGGCCTCGAATGTTTAAATTTCAGGGCAAATACCTGATCGCCGTCGCGGGATTGGGCGGCGCCGCCGTCACATTCCAAACCCTAAACCCTAACTCCCTCTCTTCTTCCACAAACTCCCCTCTCATCAACGGCGTAGTTCGGTCCTCCCGCGCTCTTTTCACAGTACGTTTCTATGCCAATTTCGCAAGCAACGCTCTTATTTTCACTTGTCAATTCGTCGATCCTTCTCCAATTCTTACGTTTAACATTTCTATTTTTTAGATTACTTCAAACGTGGTTGACTACGTTTACTCTTTGCACGGATTGACTCAGAATAGTGAGGAGTATTTGCGCGTGGCTTCTGAGGTAGCATTAAAATTTCTCTTGAAGTGGTAGAAATGCAGTGATGGTGTGCCGTGTATATTCCTCTGAAATTATCGCACCTGAAATGCTACTTCAATAATAAAGATGACTATTATAAGAACAAAAATTGTGGAAACTGGATTTGAATGAGTCTTTACTGTGAAACAGATTCAACAGGCAAATGGCTTAAGGTTATTGTTGTTTTGTTTGCACTTTGATTTCTCAATCTTCATTCGTAATTGGATCTCAACGGAACTGCAGTCATATTAGCTGAATATATATTTGTATGAGGCATTTCGAGGAGTGTCATAATAATTATTAACCAGAATTACTTAATGGAAAGATAAGTGGTAAAGTTTCCATTTCTCATAAGCTGGTGAATTGTATGGTGTGAATTATTTATTATTTTGGTTCCGATGAAAATATCATGCTGCTGACTCAAAATCAATCGTAGGATGCTTTCTAGGTGTTGCTTTTATATTTATTTGTACCGTAATTACTTTTCTTGATAAGGATATAAATCAATTAGTACTGTAATCGTACATACATTAGTGTCTTGATTCTTGAAAATTTTTGGTCAAATCAGAGTTCATTCTTGAAAATAGTTTTGTCAAAGAGGGAGAACAACAGTTCAGAATCTGGCACTTACTGAAGGATATTATGAGTGCAATTTGAAGTGGTTCCCTCAAGCTTTTGTTTTGTGCATTAGACAGACTCTGGATGTACACTGACTGCGCATTCATCTTTTACTGAATATTTAATCTCCTGGCTTTTAGGTACATCTACGGTCCGCAAAGAGAATTTTGAGACTATGTGAAGCCAACAAAGGTGTTTATGTTAAAGCTGGTCAGTTTGTTGCAGCTGTGCGTTTGAGGAAAGTTCCAAAAGAATACTCATCAACTCTTTCATCATTGCAAGACCAGGTTGGTACTACACTCAAACAAAACATATATCTATAAATTTTCTTTTGCTCCATATTTGACAAAGCTTATGATTCATGCTCGTTTACTTTCTTTCATTTGCTGACATGTAACTAATAATGCTTTAGGCTGTTCCTTGTCCTTTTGAATCCATCAAGGAAGTACTGATCCACAATCTGGGTCCAAATTTATCAGATATGTAAGTTACCATCAAGTAGGGAAATTGTATGAACTTATCATGTACTTTTCTATCTCCAAATCTGCTTCACTATCGTCATGTGCTTTCTGTCCTTGCCTCCTTTATTCATTAATAAATTTTGTTGAATTTGAAAGATCCAAATGCCTGGCGGGTGGAGAATAACAACCACCCGCTAGTTAGGCGGAAGCAGAGATGAAGAATCAAGGAATGAGAAAATATATATTTTATGAAAGTGAATAAAAGGTTTATAAATCTGTATTAGAAAGGGAATACACAGCCCTATAAATACATGCTAGAAGACTTCTAATAAGGAAATAAGTTTCTATATGACTGACTCAAATCCCTATAAATCTCCAAGCTGCCTAATATATATAGGTTCCATATTACTTGTACATTCCATAACAAATTTGATAAAACCTAATGACTAGAATGCAGCTACTATAATGTGATTACTTTCCGCCATTCTTTGCATATCCAACAATGTCAGATTTTCTCTGAGCTTTTATTTTATTTAAGTCACAGACTCACAGGCAATGCAAAGTTCTTTACATCACGAGAACCTAATGTGTGCCAATCCGTGAAAGCCCAATTTTTCAAACAGCTTTCAGCTGTATCTGTCAATTCTGTCTCTTAAAATAATAAAAAAAAAGTAATAATCCAATTCTGAGATGGAGAATACCTTGTTACTATGTATCATTGAAACATTCATTCATGTGAATTTACCTATTTTATGCGCTTGATTTGAAGCTGTACAATTATGCACAGAGGTAATAGGGAACTATGTTATTCAGTTAAATAGTTATTTCTTGAAAGCAAAAGGGTAAGGTTCTACTAAATCACTTTGTAGCATAAGAAAGTTGATTAAATATAACTGCTCAGACAGAATCTGCTTATTGTTCTGCCAAGATGGTCAGACTGACTTGTTTTGTTCACTGGAATCAGATTCTTCTCATTTGATGAGGAACCATTTGCAGCTGCCTCTATTGCTCAAGTACACCATGCTGTGTTGAGAGATCATCAAGAAGTGGCTGTCAAGGTTTGTAAATTGGGTATAATTTATGCTTGAAGTTCCATTAATTTTTTGCTAACCTTTTATTGCATTTATTTTAAATTTTCTTTTACAGTCCAACAACTTTGAGAAATCATTTTTCTTTTCCAGTATATTAGTTGTTTGATAAAACTGGTTCACTTTCTTTTCATTTATTCTATAGCATACAACAGATTTTTGGGATTTTCTCACTAATCTTCATAAAGTGGCACTAATTTCTATCTCACTAATGATGCTTATACTAATGGTGTAAGGGAGTAGATAGGTAAAAATGATTAGATTTACATTTGAATTCACTAAAAGCAGTATTAATAAAGGTTCTAGCACTCAAGACAGAAAATACTAAAGCAATATATATGCATGCCTCTATGGCTTTGCTTTCAAGAGCCTGGCTTTCAGCTCATCTGCCATGGCGTCAATGAATCCTTCAGTATCCAGATATTGGTCTTTTAAAAGCCTACAGAGTCCATATATCAATATTATAAATTTCTACTCTGTAAAAATAATACCATATCAAATTTATTTTAGCTTGCAATGGTTTGTTGACCATAGGTGTGTAAGTGTGTTGCCATAAGTCTTGTTTACTTGGTTTATATCCTTGTGTACACATATACAGATATACTAACACTCTACAGTTGAAACATTGCTATGATAATCTTTTTACATTTTAAGTTCTGCTTACACATTGAATATGCTTGTGTACAAGTTGTGTATGTTAGTCATTGGTGTCATATCAATTGCAGGTGCAATATCCAGGACTGGAGTACCAGATGAAATTTGACCTTGCAACAATGTCTTTTCTCTCAAAATCTGTTGCATGGGTATAAATTAATGTATTTTTGCCTACTGATTTGGTTTCTTTAAATGTTTTATGTCATCCACTTGTTCATTATTATATCTCAATTTTTTAGGACATACATGCAAGAGAAAGTAGTTTGACCTGCGGCCCGCTTACTAAATTGAATACTTATTCATTTCAGGCGATGCCTATTTTAATCTTTTTGTCCCTCTTGTTTTCCTCTATATACATTACCTGCTAAAGCTCAGGACTTCTTAATTGTGATACTCTATAAACTGTCACATTATTTCTGCAAATTCTAATGAAAGGGATAGAAAAGCTCAAGGTGCCCAGGATCATGGTAATTATGCCTTTTCTAGCTCTCCGTTCTCCCTATAAATATAGTTCTTGTTACCACATGCTGTGGATCTGTAATGACTAGACTACATAGAAACATAAGCTATAACAAGCCTTAAAATACGGTGTTACACTGGATTAGCAACAATAATTGGGCAGAGTGTACACTCATTATAGGATTTGTAGTATCAGGTCTGTCTAAAGTAGTATTGGATTTGCATGCTTGCTTCATTTCATTACCTTTTCTTACTGTGAGCATCTTTGATGAGGAAGGTTCCTTCTCTCTCTCTCTCTATCTGTTTAATAATGCCACTCATTGCTCTGGATGGTTGCTCTTCCAACCAAGCTTCTCTGTTGAGCATAGGTAATCGATCTGATATGATAGAACTAACATGCAAAAGCAAAATCCATTTAATTTCAGCAGAACAACACATTTTTAACTGATAAGTGATGGATTGATGACCTAGGATTATGTATTACCCAGTTTTAACTCTGCTCTAGATGAATGTGCTAAATATGCTTTGTATGAATGACTTTTAACTTAGGTAGGACCCATCACTTTGACTCTTGACTTTCTATTTTCTAATTTCTTTTTAATTTTTTATTTTTTGGTTGAGATGCTTTCACATGCTTCCTTTCAAATATCAGCTGCAGTGATTTAGTATTAGTAGTTGCAGAGTTCTGCCCTTTGACCTCATCTACTCAATAACTTGCCATTTTATTCTTTCTTCAGTTTTTCCCAGAATGCAGGTTTGAGTGGCTGGTATTAGAATTTAAGAAATCTATTACTTCTGAGCTTGGTATGTAACATTCTATCGTGATGATTATTCTTTTAAATTTTGCATATGTTGGTAGCTCTCTTCAATTTGTTTATTCATGTCTGTAAGTCTGTTTATTTTTACTTCCGTTTTATTTTATTTTTACCTTGAATGTGGTTACAAGTTTACAACTATCTCTGCCTTTTTCCTCAAACACTAAGGTTTCCTTCTTTTCTGATCTTTACACTTAGAATTTCATGTTTAGTGAAAGTAAAACCTATTTGACTATTTGGTTATCACATGAAATCAATCAAAGTTTTTTTCACTCCAAGAATTTCTTTTGGGTTTTCAACTCCAAAGTTTTATAAGGATATAGTGGAAGAAATTGAGTGGAATTAGAGATAGACACTTTATCAGAACAAAACAAGTTATTGGAATTGAGTGCCAAAATGCATGTAATTAGTTAGCATATTTTTTTTTTCCTCTTCCAAAGCTCACTTATAGGCCTAGAGGTGGCAAAGCCTATAGTTTTTCAATCTCACACATCCTGCCACAAGTAATTCATATGTTTTTATTTTGTTTGTCATTTATAGTTTTCTGCTTCCTTTCTCAGCGTTACACAGTTTTCCCTTCATACTTGGAGTGTGGCGGTAGGAATGCAGGATGTCTGTATTTATCATAATTATTATGAGATTTCTTGGAGATAAATGTTTTTTAGGGACTTTTGAGCTATGCATTGAAGAACTTCTATTCTGTAATCATGAAATGGTTGCTCTACAGATTTCACTGAAGAGGCTAAGAACTTAGAGAGAATGTACAAGAACTTCAAAAACAACAGCATGGTTAGGATTCCCCATGTTTTTTGGGTATGGCAGCGAAATACTATCATCATTGGCAACTTCACACTTTTTTTTTGGTTTTACCATTTCTCAGTTCTTTAGATATATTCTGTTTTCTGCTTATTGTAGCTGCAAAAGTTTTAACCATATACAGGGTTTCACAACAAGCAATGTTCTGACAATGCAGTTCTGTAAAGGACATAAGGTACAATGTTCTGCCTGCTTTTGGTTGCATGTGGTATGCACATGTGATGTTGCTCAAAGTTCTTTATATAAGCAGTATGAAACATTAATTTAGGTTTTGCCTCTTGCCATATGTTACTATGTTAGGAAATCTACTATCATTCATTCATATCATACTTGTAAATCTTCTGAAAATGATTTTGTTACTCCTTTTCTAACGACATTACTGAGATGCTTTAGCTTCTGAAACTTCATCTATTATTTGTTGTCAATTTTTTTTGTTCAACTACCATCAGAAATGTGCCAGTAACAGGAAACTTTTAGCTTCCAGGTCGATGACTTGGAGTTTTTGAAGCAAATGGGAATTAGTCCATCTAAGGTGGTCTTATCTCTCCCATTTCTTGCCCATTGCTTGAGATAGTATGGACCTTGTCATTACTCTCTTAAGGTTCTTGCTTGCTTCAGTCGCTCTAATTTCCCATCTTTGATGCTGTAGGTTGGAAAAGCCTTAGCAGAGGTCTTTTCAGAAATGATATTTGTCCATGGTTTTCTGCATGGTGATCTACATCCTGGTAATGTGCTAGTTTCTCCGGAAGGAAGGAATGGTTTCTCTCTAGGTATGTTTTTGTGGACAGTTTAAATCTTCACTTTGCTCCCTGATCAATGAACAATTTAGAAATGCCCTCCTGTATTTCTTTAGCAGTAACTTCTGTAAATGCAGTTCTTTTGGATTTTGGGATTTGCAAGGAATTGGATGAAGCTTTCAGATTGAATTACTGCCAATTATGGGAGGCTTTAATATTCAAGGATTCAAACAAAATCCAACAGCTGGGGGAATATTTTGGTGCTGGGAGGTATTCAAGATACTTATCTGTCATATTTACAGGAAGAACAATTGACAGGTGATGTTCTTATGTGTTTATCTTATTACCATGGAAAAAAATGAATCTTCAAAAACCTATAAAAATGTGCTTCACTGAAATCCTTTTGTTGGCTTGTCTGATTAAAATTGAATTAAGCAATTAATTTGGTACCTGGTAAATGGAAATTTTGTTGACAATTGAAAAGTGAAATAATTCCTGCTATTGCCTTTATGACAGTAAATCAGCACTTTGGAGGGGAATGCCAGCTGAAGAAAAAAAGAACCTAAATCAGGAATTGAAGTCTCTCAGAATGGAAGACATATCTTCCTTTATGGAATCACTACCCAATGACTTTCTTACTGTATTACGAGCTGAGTAAGAACTCCTTTTGTAGTTCCAGAGATTCACACTGCAAAGTATTTTTCGTATCAATTATTGTCTGCTTATTCCTTTTTTTTTTTTAGTGGGCTGCTAAGATCTTTGATAAGCAAGTTGGGCGCTTCCCAGCGAGATCGATTACTGGCATATGCTAAGTATGCACTGCATGGTCTTTCTTTGAAACCTGATTCCGCATCTGGTAAGCTTCAATATATCAATATATGTTAGCTCGACTTTTATGTTCTGGACTACTTTTTATTTCTATTTTGATAAATAATAAAGCAACGAAACTAAAAGAATTATAGGAGTTCAATTATCACACATGTTATATACCATGGTTCCCATCTCTGACTATTTGGTCGGATCTTCCTCTTGTTGAACTTGTCATGCATGTAAAAAAACTTCAAAAGAGGGATTCTAAAAACCATCATTGAATTCCGAAGTTGGAAGAAGAAATGCATATTAAAAACACATTCAACAATATTGGATGTGCTCAATCAGACATATACACATCACATGGAGGCAATTTTTTTCTTGAATTAAATGGCAAATCATCATAATTTTTCCCTTCTTAGCCTTAAGGTCTTTGACCATCCCTAAAGGCATGAAACCGCCAACATTGTTGATGTTGTTGGACGATTTGTTTAGCCTTTCTTACTTTGCCCTTCCTTCCCTTATTTAGTTATTGCGGTTTGTCATATAGATATATTTAGTTATGCGGCTTGTCATATAGATATATTTTAGTTATGCAGCTTGTCATACAGATACTGATGGCATTTCTGATTGAAGTAGCTTGTTTTCCTTTCAGATTCTGCTATTGGAGCGGTCTACTTTAGATTCAAGGCTGGGATTCGATACATTCAACTGAGGTTACTTTTCGGTGAGAATGTCAGGCATAACTGGAATACTATAAGCATCTCCTCAAAACACAAATTAATAAACGAATTTTTTTCACTTTTACCAGCATTATTGGATATCATTTCTTGGATAGACAACACCCAACACATGACAGCCAAAACATTCAAACATTTGATTTCCTCATCAAGCAGTGCAGTAAGATATGCATTTCCCTCAACATAATCAGGGAATTGGCTTCCAAGACTGGGATATTCTTGCTGTTATCTAGCAAGCTGGAGAAAACATCATTCCCATGCATGAGGTAGTGAGGTACCTCTAAAACTAAAATCTGTTCTGTAATTATAAAACGTAGGCAATATCTTATAGCCAATATAGTGAGTGTGTTTACAAATATTAGTGTGTCAAATGATTGACAAAAGGTTATTTAGATATTGTTTCTCTTAAAGCATGAAAATCAAATTCATAAAGAATGCAGCAGAAAGAATGGAGTATGGCTTAGTTCAACAGCCAGCCCCTCAAATGTGCTATATCAGTATCTCAGTTGCATCTAACATAATCCTCAGCCTTTTCCTCCTGACTAAACATCATTTTACCAGCATATATTGCAATCCATTTTTCCACAGGTACATGCCTGACCTAGACCCAAATATTACGGATAAAACATGGATAATTGTTACCAGGTGGTAAAAATGATTAAATTTAACATTGGCAGTATTAATAAAGGTTGTAGCACTTTAGGCAGAAAATACATACATACTTCTATGGCTGTGCTTTCAAGAGAGTCTGGCCTTCAGCTCATTTGCCACGGCATCAATGAATTCTTCAGTATTTAGATACTGATCTCTTGAAAGCCTGCAGAATCCATATAGCAATATTATTATAAATTTATACTCTGTAAGAGAATAATACAGCTTTTGGTAAATATGGGTTATATAAAAAAAAAAATTGTAAGAGGCTGCACAAACTTGGATCCGTGAATGATTAGAGCGAGATCCTTGGTCATCTTTCCAGACTCCACAGCACCGATGCATGCTGCTTCAAGCTTCACAGTGAAATCCAAGAGTCTATCATTACTGTCCAACTTTGCTCTGTTCACATATCAATAATTCAGCGACAAAACAAACTACTTGCATTAGTCAATGCTCAAAACAGCAGGCAGCTATAAACAAGTTACCTGTGTGCTAATCCTCGAGTCCAGGCAAAGATTGAGGCAATGCTGTTTGTGCTGGTTTCACCGCCTTTCTGATGAACCCTGTAGTGGCGTGTAACAGTTCCATGGGCAGCTTCCGCCTCAATAGTCCTCCCATCCGGGCAAATCTAAACCACTCAGAATCCAGAATAAGGTTACCTTTAAAGCTATTAGAGAATTTGAATAATGCCTTTCATATTATAACATAACTGTGAGAAATTACAAAGGAAGTATAAAGACAAACATGTTGACACAAAAATACTCAATAAAGCGATTATGCAGAAAGGACATTCAATATACGCTATGATTAAAAATGTAGTTGACACTAATAGGCAATAGCATCTCAAAAATAAAGCATACCAGGACTGATGTCATCAAACCTAGAGATCCAAAACCTGTTTTAAGAGAAGTTCCCAAAAAGAAAAAGAAAAAACAAAAAAAAGAATTGTGTAACTCCTTCAATACAATCTTCTAAACAATGAGATCCGAACCGTGCATACCTTGTGCTAGGAAGTCACTCTGCACATCTCCATCATAGTTCTTGCATGCCCATATATAACCACCATCGCTCTTTAATGCATAAGCAACCATATCATCGATGAGACGGTGTTCATACCTAAAAGATCCATGTGTATAACAATCATTGTTGACATTAGAAGATTGCAAGAACCGGTTCTTAAAAGTAAGAATTATGACTACTCACCATATTCCAGCTTCCTCAAACCGTGATTTCCATTGTGCTTCATAAACTTCTTGAAATATGTCCTTGAACCTTCACAACATGTTAGACATTACTAAAGGAAGAAAATATGAAAATGGACAAAACAAAGTAAAATAAACTAGCATGAGTATTTGAAAATATGTTCCAAATGGGTAATAAAATGCCAATCAAAATGAAATGTTGTTTAACAAACAACTTACCTTCCATCATATTTCTTAAGGATTGTATTTTTAGTGCTTAGATAGAGAGGCCATTTCTTCTGGTATGCCATTGTCATCGAAGCTTCAGCAAAAGCACGAATAGACTGCAAAAGAAAAGAGTAATATGTAAGCCTACACCAAAACCATTTCTGGCTTAAAGCTCCCGCAAACATTTACTAACAAACCTCATCAGTATTGTACATCGCAAGGGCAACTCCACCAGCGCCAGTGAAATTGAAAACCTCTAACTCAGTCTTTTCATCCTTTCCTTCTGGTACTGCAAAACCAACCAAAATGAACACTCCTTGAGTACATTAATGGTTCCCATAGCAATACAAAATCCAATTTGATCAATAGTGGCAAGCCCCAAAAAGTTGGTATTAACCGTTATATAAATGAAGTTCGTTTTACCAAACACCAGTTTGAGTTTTCCAGCTCCTTGAATAACTGTATCGGTAGCTCTGTATTGATCACCAAAAGCATGTCTTCCAATGCATATTGGTTTATTCCAACCTAATGCCAGCAGCAACCTTATAACTTGTCTAGTAAAGGCATTACAAGGGACAAAACAGCAAATATCAGAAATGTTAAATACCTGGGACAAGTCGGGGGATGTTTTTGCAGAGAATTGGCTCTCTGAAAACAGTGCCTGAATGAAACCCATGATCCATCAACCGTGTGCACAATTATAAGATATTTTATGTCACAAATGTAGAAAAAGGAGAGGAAAATCACCATTCAGTATGTTCCTAATTGTCCCATTTGGACTCTTCCACATATGCTTCAAGTTAAACTCCTTCACACGAGTTTCATCTGCAAGTGCAAGCACAATCACGTAGAACAATAATGTAATCAATGTTTGTAAAAGACCAAGTGACCAACTATGGACAAATTGTAAAGTCAAGAAGTTTTCTATGAATTGCCTTCTGCAATTACAAACAGATTCACACACCTGGAGTGATGGTTGCACACTTAATTGCCACATTATACCTAGATTATCAAACATTAAGATAAAAACATATTAGTCAGGAGATATCCAATGTCACTGACATCATCAGCCAATAAAATATAGACACTGTGAGAAAATATAATACAGGAATTAGCAAAAGGCAAAGCATATATACATACTTCAGAGTAGCTTCAGCACTTTCAACAGTAACCTTATCATCCGTGGCATCACGGTGAGGAAGGCCAAGATCGAAGTACTTTATATCCAACTCCAGAAATGGCAATATAAGCTAAAGCACACAAAGACAGTTCAAATATCAGCAGCTTCATAATAATTACAAGATTAATTAGGGGAAAAAAATAAGGCACTGAAATGGTTATTGGCCACAATAACTAGTAACCTTGTCCTTGATTGATTTCCAAATAATTCGGGTCATTTCATCCCCTGCATCACGTGTTTTGAAACACAGTAAGACATTTTGTTTCAAAGTAGTTTTAAAAGCATGAGTGCACAAGCATGAAAATTGCTACAGTATTTCTTTTATGGCATAACATCAGAACATTACTCATCAAGCACCAGTTACCTCTTCTTGAAGGCAATGCAGCCCTTTAAAAAGCTAGTATATAAACTCCCTCTTCTATTGAAGATCAAAGTAAGAATACTAGTTGCAGGTTGTATTAGATTTAGGGCCAATGCAAGAAAATTCAAGCTTTTAACTCTTTCCTCTCAGCAATCTTATATAACTCCATACAATATAGTTGTTTTTATGATATTATCAATGGCCCCTACTACTCTACTAGGGAGTGATGACTCAAAGTTCAAGCCACAATAAACCAAAACCGATACAAAATTCACTCTGCATTCACACAACTTCAGTAGATAATAAACTGAAATCCAAAAATATGATGATTATGAGACATGTTTATTTATTCATTTTTTGAAGTTTTCTCTTGATAAATTCATAGAATGTCATTAAAACACATCTCTCTTCCTACCATTAAAAAAAAAGTCTTTCCCTTCAAATTTTTTTTGTTTCGTAAAATCCTGACTTTTATCAGCGGATCATCACTAGTAGAAGCAGAGTGAGAGTGAAGTAGAGCTCCATTTTTAAGCTAGTTCGCAGAAAACAGAAATTGAGGGAGCAAAAAGGCGGAAGGGAGAGAGAAATCTGACCGTCCATCTCAACTATGGGGTTAGCGACCTTGATCTTTTGGAAAGCCATTGTTAGTTTATCGATGAGAGAAATAACGGTGTCCTGTTGATATGTGTATATGCGCGACTTCTATATCTATATATGTATATCTATATAGATAGAGAAAGAACGGCGAGGATAGAAAGAAGAAACAATCTCCGGTGATTCTGTGCAGCCAAGGAGAAAGGGGAAGGGGAGCTGGACCAGCTAGGCAGTTAGTGACGTACGGCAGTTAGTTACTCACAATTTTTTATTTGTTATTTTTATTTTTATTTAAAAAAAAAAAAACGGAATGTTTTATAAAGCTTACAAAGTTGGAGGGCTTTTGAGGGGGCGGAAATTTTATTATACAAGATTAAAGGGGTACATGGAAAATGATTATTACTGAAAGTGAAATTTTATTGTCCTTCATAACGAAAATACTTGGTGTATTCTCATTTTAAACTCCCATACTCCCTCTCACATACTCTTAATGTAAACATTTTTCTGTGAATCCACATTGATAGGGATTATACCCGTACAAATCATCCTGCCGGGTCAGTGGTATACTGCAAATCCACCGCAGATCCACCCGGTCACCCTTTCGCCCGTGCTCGTACCTGTCGTTCGAGGCCACCCTGCCAGGTTGACGGCATGCTCCGGTTACCCGGTCATTCCTTTGGCACCCGGAGTCTTGGTGTTCTCCCCGACGTTAACGGCTAATGACCGGGAGGGACGTGCGGTCGGATCGGGGCCCTGCAGCTGTCGGAAGATAAGCGCCACATGTACGGCTGCATGCCTGCCTTCTCTAGACCCGGTGCATGAGCGCCACGTGCTCAACATGCCGAGAGGCCGGGCGTCGCTCCCTAGGTCTCTTATAAATATAGCATTTATTGCTTTGAGGGAGGACTTTATCACTTACCCATACACTATAATTAAGAGATTTCCGGTCACATTCTACGATGGGTCAACCTGTCATTTTACTGTACTAAACTACGGAGATTTTATACACATCATGATGAAAAAATAACCAATCTTGATTTGTCACCTCAGGGAGTATAAATGAGAGAGTAGAATTTTGAGAATCTATGTAGTAAAACTCTGATAAAAATATTCAATCCTTATTTGCCATGTCATAGAGTAAAAGTGAGGGAGTATAATTTAAGAGTACATGTAATAAAACTCCCTTCATAATTCATATCAAGAGGAGGAATGGTGTGAAACAGCTACAGCTAACTGGTAGGCAACACGATTTGCTAATCTTTTCACAAATTAAAGAGAGAGAAACAAGTAACAATATGAAATCAGTCTAAACAGTTTGTTTTACATATATACATCATAAATGATAAGACGAAAGAGTTAGAATGAATTTGATGATAGAGTTGAAGAGCGTCAACTTATTGGCCTTCATCTCTGTCTCCTATATATATCCTGCTCCCAGATCTGATCTGTTGAAATTAATATGAGATTTTTTGTGAGCTTTTTGTCTGTGTTTTCATGAGGGTGTGCTTTTTGGGGTTTGTCTTGTCTCTTTTTATCTGGGTCCCTCCCGTGTGGCTACTGGCTATGAATTAGATGGAAAGTAACTATCTTATAATGACACATTTTCATTTGGATAAGATTTCGCTAATCTATTGTGGACCCATATATATATTTAATCATTAGATGATAGATTTTATATTCTTATTATACGTTTGAAAAACCTAACTCCGGTTCAATAGCTCACAAATTACACAAAAGAGATAAACTGTAATATATATATACCTTTCTTGATTTGTGCTAATCACGATTAGTTATTTTAGTTTTATTTATTTATAACAGTCCTATTATATAATGATGAGTATTAACTCTATTACAATGTAGTATCTGTTCATAACTATTTTCTCAACATATGTGAACAGATACTACAATGTAATAGAGTCAGTAGTAGTTATTTTAGTTTTATTTATTTATAACAGTCGTATTATATAATGATGAGTATTAACTCTATTACAATGTAGTATCTGTTCATAACTATTTTCTCAACGTATATGAACAGATACTACAATGTAATAGAGCTAGTAGCATTCAAAAAAAAATTTCTCAACGTATTGAAGCGTATCTGTTCATAATTATTTTCTCAACCTATTACTTTCTCAACACGTACTGAAACGTATCTGTTCATAACTACTTTCTCGTACTGAAACATATATGTTTTGTTCATAAAGTAGTCAATACTTGTTCATAACTACTTTCTCAACCTATTACAATGTAGTATCTGTTCATAAAGTAGTCAATAACATCTCCTCCCTCGAACCCATAACCTCCCATGTGAAAGTTCAACTTGATAACATTATTGGACCACAAGGACAGAAAGATATAAAGCAAATGTGTATTGAAAAGACATGCAAATATGTTGATGTGATAGTAATATACTAATATTCACTTTAAAGAGTGAAAGAAAACTGTAAGAATAAAGATAACTTTAGTATATTAATCAAGTCGGTATTTGAATATGGTAAAACATGAAGGCCCTGTTTGATAAAAAAAATTAGTTTATAGGCCAATTTTGACTTATTTGACAACTATTAATTATTTGATTTAGTTAAAATATTAATATAAGTGTTTGGTTAATTAGCTTTTTGTAATCCTGCTCATTTGGTTCACGGAATAGGCCGGGAATGACATAGCATTCCCAGTAATAGGCCTATTCCTTTGTTTGGTAACCGTTTCTATTACCGGGAATAATATTCCCGGTAATACCCTATTCCCCCAGATAAGGTAATATCTATTACCAGGCCCCCTCTGGTATTAGGCTATTACTGAGTTCTCAGGAATAGCCTAAAATTTCTACTTCCTATTTTACCCCCCGTCACCACCACCAGCACTAGCACCCCACCAACACCACCACCACCAGCACCGTCGCCGCCACCACCACCATCATTGTCACCACCACCACCATCGCCACCACCACTTTTGCCACCACCACCACCACCACCATCGCTACCAGCATTGCCGCAGCCACCAGCACCGTCACCACTGCCACTACCACCACCACCGCCACCATCGCTGCCATCGCCACTACCACCGCAACTAGCACCACCACCCCACCAACACCACCAGCATCGCCACCACCGTCGCTACCACCACCACCGTCGCCGCCGCTACCACCACCACCACCGCTGCCACCGCCACCAGCACCACCACCCCACCAACACCAGCACCAGTACCGCCACCACCCGCCACTACCACCACTACCGTCGCCACCACCACCAGCATCGGCACCACTGCCGCTATCACCACCACCGCCGACGCCGACGCCACTACTACCACCACCATCGACACCACCACATATTTTTATAAGGGTATTTATGTCTTTTAAAACATATTTCATTTCTATTCCTTAAACCAACCAAACACGGTAATATAATTCCTAAAGTCTATTCCTTCCGCGAACCAAACAATAGAATACAATTCCTAATCTATTCCTTGCCTATTCCATTCCTTATGGAATAACATTCCTATTACCTCAAAATTCATTCCATGAACCAAACATGCTGTAAAATGCATGCTAAAATTCAAAAAATTGCTCCAAACAACTTTTTCAATTAGTTTTTTCAGAAAAGAAATTATATCAAACAACTATCAGCTAATTTACCAAATGCTTTTCTACAAGAGCTAATGTTATCAACTAGTTATACCCTCTAATTAAAACAATCAGCTAAAGCTATCAGCTAATCAACAAGTTAAGCTGGTCTGAAATTTTATATTTGAATATAAATCCATGGGTTGTCTCTATTTATCATTAGTTGTGAGCATGAATGCATGCTAAGAATTGTTGGAGAAATATGGGGCTGCCGGCCTGTTCAGAATAATAATCCTGGTCCCTCATTCAAAGATTGGGTGAGTATTAATTTGCCAATCAATCAAACTGGAGTGTGGAGCAGCTTTGTTTAGTAGCTAGCCATGGTGTGTTGGGGAATCTGGACCCAAAGAAATGACATTTTATGGCGCAATCGTAGCACCGTAGCAGCCTCCATCATAGTTAGAAGAGTAAAGAATTACCTCAATTCACAATACCACCAACCAACCAGAACCTGTGCGTGAAACTGTACTGTTGGATGCAACAAGCCTCAACCCGGTTTAATTTATTCACCAAGGGAAGCTGAGGCAGTAGCGATAAGAGAAGCGTTGAGTTGACTAAAGAAACTAAATTATGATAGTGTTTTTGGTTGAAATGTACTCGGCTGACTCGTTGTTAGTTATCCAAGGCCTCGACTGATATGACCTATCGTGGAACAAATAAGATTATTCAGGAACGTGTTCAATTCAATGGTACAGGTAAATTACTTGTAGCTGCACAAATTTCCTTTTAGTTTCGAATCCAATTGGGTTCTGTGTAGCATGTCTAGGCGTCTAGCTATGCCCCAAGAAAAAAGGTAAAGATAATTAGTTTATGAAATGAAATTGAAGATCCGATCCCTTCTTCTTAAGAAGATAATTTCCCAAATTTAACAAAAAGCACAATTAAAATAATCTTTAAGCTCTTAGTCTTCATTTGAGCTTGGACTTCCATTTAAATTTTACAATCTTTGCACATGTTCAATAAAGAGTTGTCTTAGCTTATAGGACTTGGATCTTGTTATGGGCCCAATTGACACTTGTAATGGATCCGTAGGTTGATCCGTATCATTAACTCATTCAACGGAGTCTTGACTTTTTATCTAATTCTTAGGCATATCAAAAACTTGATGAGTAGTTTCTCTCATGTAAGTTTATCTTTCGTTATACGATTTGCAAAACGGGCAGCACATTTGATAGCTAGGTAGCATGTTTGTTTGTCGGGTTGTTCGGAGTGATTTTCAAACCCTTCCTCCATCGTATGTAATGTTTTATCTATGGAAATAAATTAACAAGCTGTTTCTTCAAAAAAAATAATTAATAATAATAATATTATTATATTTTTGGAGTGAATTAAAATTGTAGGAATGTAAAGAAAATCATACGTAGTAAATTACAAATATACTATATATTAATAGAGTCAACTTTTACAAGTGAGAAAGAATTGTAAGTTAAATAAGTTTGTAGAAATTATTGTCACTTTTCTCGGAGGAAAACCATCCAAGGGTGAATCCAGAGGAAAGGGTGGATCCAGAGGAAGGGTGAGGGCAATGGGGCAGTTATCCCCCTTCCTCCCACCCCCATCACATGTGGATCTGTCCTATAAGAAAATTAAGAACCAATTGAAAACGTTCTATGAGAAAATTAATTACCAATTAAAATTTTGTTGTATAAGAAAATTAAGAACCGTCCATCTTAAAAAATTTGACAGATCTAAATCCTTGAGTCAGATTGTAATTAGTGCCCTGTCGGGTAATTGGATGTGTCATTCTTATGTTGGTTCTATTGTTAGTGATTGTCGTGCTATTCTGAACACTTTAGATGTATGTCGTGTTGCTCACATTAGTCGGTCAGCAAACCAGCTTGCTCACGCTCTTGCTAAAGCAGTTACTAGTTAGTTCTAATGAGGGAGGGCAATCCTCCGACTTTTGTTCATGCTTTCTTGAGTTAATACAGTTGTTTTGGTGTTTGCTTCCAAAAAAAAACCATCCTAGGTTAACATTTTCTTATTCTTGTTCTTTGTATTTCTTGGCACTTGATTGCCCTTTTTCATCTTTGAATGGACTGACATTAGTTAGACCTCATGATCAGTGGGAGAGGAGCCTGAAGCAAGTACTATTAATACAATGAAACTAAAGTCATAATCTATAGTATATGGCAAAAGCTAGCAACCTCTTACATTAAAGAACAGCCATCATTATTCACATTTTACAGTTGAGAAATCAAATGGAAATATTACAAGATGTAAGATCATTCTTATAATATGCAAGAATAATGTACAAGAATCCTGCATTATGCAAGGTCTTCGCAGTAGAAGATGACTGGTATTTGGACAATTGAGTGGAAGAAAATGCGGACAACCTACACAATTAGCTGAACTGCTTGGGTATTGCTCTTCAAGCCAATCCAGCAATTACTGTCACAAAATTTCTCATCATCAAATGGAAATAATAAACAAGCCAGCAGTTAGAACCTGCTATAAACATAGACGTGTTCGCTGTTTCTCGCGCTCTTCACTGGTTATTGAAGGCAAACGGGTTGCTCTTTCCGCTAAACATCTCTTGTATGGCATAAAACCCTTTGTTCTCTTGGTGGATCTTGCAGTTTTTTGCTCCAAAATAACTATCTCAGTAGTACGTTTGAAGCATGACGAATCGCTCCCTATTCGCTGCCCACTCTGAGTTTCGGTATCCAAATTCTTGTCAACACATATTCCTACATTTACCGATCCACTGTTTGAACAAGTGGAAGATCCTTCCTTGGCGTCTTCTTTCTCTTCCACATTATCCTTACTGTCAAACGAAAATGGACGTGCTTTGATTGCAACGGGGCTATGAACCTGCACACAAGGGAAACCAGCCGAAGAAGAAGGAGCACGAGGCAACGCCCATGGGAGGGAAGGAACCGGCTTGCATTCAGAATAATCACCATGCCCTATCGATAAGTTCCAAGAGAATGAATGTGTTGCCATTGGAGCCTTCAAGTCTCGAGAAGTTGGAGACGAAAGTGTATGGGAACCAGAAACTAATACGGTTTTCCCAAAAAGCTTCAGATATTGGGCTGTCGAGCTCTCCCTAACACGACCATCATCTAAAGGAAGCAATTCGAGATTCTGCACATATCGAGCAAGTAGGCGTAAGAATTATTAATCAGTCATTGCATATTTGCATTATTACATGTATAAAGGTAAAAGCAATTGAAGCATGTGCTCCATCTCAACTAAAAGGCTAAGCTGATAGTTGGATTGCACATTAATGGTTATATGCTCAACAAAAGCGACACAATTACATACCCCGGGAGGTGGCGAAGAAGATCCATTCTCCTCAACCAACACATTGCAATGTTTAGAAAACAGAATGCCACCGCCAGTAGCTGATGAGACACATGACGGGCTAGCATTTGGCGATGAATCTGCTGAGGCTTGGCCTTCTGAATCGAGCGCAAACAATACAGAAGTAGGAGACCGGTTCTCTTTCTCCGAGACAGACAGGTTAGGGGACAGAGACCTAGTTGGTTTCTCGGGATCCAGCATGCCTACTACACTAACTGGAGTTATTACCAGTTTACGAGGATAAGGATGCATAGGTTTTCTTTTCGGGCGAGGAGGAGGGATTTCAATAGGTTTCACAGTTTTCGCATCATCACCATTCGACTCACGCTCGACCTGACCAGCAACAATGCAATAACCATCAACAATATATAAATTTGGACTGCTTCAAAAGGCCACTTATAGATTTTAACTGGCCAAGATAATAATACCTTTGAGAAAAACTTTTGGGCATGGCTTCTAATCTGAACTGCAGTCTTTGTGCCCACATGTTCTGCAAAAATAACCACAGCCATTTTCAGTTAACAGACAACAAACACCAACTAACAACAGATATGATTTCACAGAAGAATCGAAATTACCTTCTATTCGCCTCCACGCTCTACCATACAGTTTCAAAGCATCGAGGAACTTCCTATGCTCTTCTTCAGTCCACCTTTCCCTTTGTTTCGTTATCGTGTATGGTTTCCTAACCTATTCAATGTAAACCAGATGGCTAAAGGAAATGCCTTGGGGTAATATATACACTCCACAGTAAATCCCAATAATCCCTGAAAACACAAGAACTAACCTTTATAGCATGTTCATCTGATTGTTGAATTCTCCTAGCAGAAATGCAGTTGCCCATCCCTCCATTTTGATCCTGCATTTTGTGGAACCAAAGGGTGTTGAAAATGAGTAATACATATACATCTTCTCTTTCAACCTAGATTTATTTGTGTTACATATACAACTTGTCATCTCAGTTAGGTGGAATTTATGGAGATTTGGAACTCTGAAAAGACTCCCGAACTTGCCCACAAAAGGCAAAATCTCTCGCACCCCAGCCTTACAGAACTTATAAAGGTAGTAAATCACGGTCACTCTAAACTATAAGGTGCCCACAAGAAGCACAACATATTAGGTGGGATTCCAAACTAGTCCAGACTCGTTCTTGCCCACAATCTGCCACTTAAAAGAACTGAACTATCCGTGCGGGCAAAAAGACTTTTCAAAAGTGTAAATGGCTCCCACATGGCCACATGCCCAATACAGAAATGTTTATCCTAAGATTAAACAAGGAATGTTTTATCTGCAAGTTCCAAGCTTGTCATCCAATACAGAAACTTAAAAGGTTCTAATCAACTCTGGCATGTTTGGCAGAGTGAAACCAAACTTAAAAGTTTCTGAACAAACACTATAATTCCAAACTAGTATGATACCATAACGAGACTCTCTGACTCATAACTCCCAAATACCATTAAAAAAAATAAGAAGATAAGACCCAAAAAAGTTAAAATTTTTAAATTACTAGAAAAGAATTTATGGAAAAGGGATTCAGCACCCAAAAAGAGAGTATCTGACCTGAGAAGTCATCGGCGCTGGGACCATTAATTTGCCTACGCCACTTCTGCTTCTGAAGTTTCTGAGCCAAGAGAAAACCTTGTATACAACTATGATTCAACGACAAATATTAGATCCGAGGATGTTACAAACTCCTCAAATTCTGTGATCACTGAACAGCCCTGTTCACACTCGGGAAAGTCTTGGATCACAGACCAACTTTCTTCAATAAAGATCAAAACTTTTATGCTTTTCCTCCAAAGAAAATCTCGCGGAACTACAGGCTCCCAGTAACAGCCAAACGGAAAAGAAGTAAACTGGTATCGATATGACTTACAGTTCAGAAACAATGGGAAAAAACAGGGCGCAGATGAGCTTCAAAAATTAAAGGAAACTGAACAAGAGGGTATGTCCAGAAACAGAAAAAAATGTTCTCCGGCGACCGGAAAAACGAAAAGCCTGGATCTTGATGACCAGTTAACCACAACCTCAAGCTACAGATGAAGAACAGAGGAGAAGAAAGCGAAAAACGCCAGAAAAAAGAAAGAGATGAACGGCGGAGATTAGACCCAGAGAAGGGGAGCAGAGCAGAGCGATGTTAAAGGAGAAACAAATCTTGTGAGAATTGAGAGAACGAGAAGCAGGGGAAGGGAAGTAAAAGACGAAGGCAGGTACGCCACGTCAGCGTGGTGGAAATGAATTTCTCGGGTCGGGGTGGGGGGGGGGGGGTTTGGGTTTTAGAGAGTAGAAGAAAGGCCGAGAAATCCATGGAGTCTTGTGGCTCACGTTGAAAGAAAGCAACCGACACGTGTTACCTTGATGTCATCCCAACCATGTTTTCGACAAACTTTGTTGCCAACTCCAGTGTCGCGAGTACGGCATTCCATAGCCTACTTGCCCTTCTTGGATTCCACGTTTCAGTTTCTTAGTGGTTGGGCGCCTGTTAATCCTATGCCCCGGACCCACCGTGCCACGCTGTATCATTGCACTTTTCACTTTTTCTTCTTCCTTCGTATTTTTAACCGTCTTTCAAAATTAAAAATTAAAATAAAGAAAATTGAGAGATATTATCATCTATCTATTTTTTGAAAGCAAAAGCACCAAATTTCATTATTATCATCTAAAGAGTATTAATATCCCATTCATCTTCTAAAAGTATTATATTTGTCCTAAAAAATATTACATTTTTCCTTCTAACTAACAAACATTTTATTCATGATTTAATATAAATTTTGCTAGTATAAATATCACATTTGCATATTGACCCGGTCCAACTCGTTTCGTCTCATGAATAAGAATTCCTGAGATGATTCCACACAAGTGTGACCCTAACTTAAAAAGATACATTTACTATGCAACAATTAAAGAATTTTTAAACTAAAGAAGTCAAAAATTTCTTATAAAATATTACTGGTTTCATTGTAATCAATAATTATAGATATTTAGAATTCTAGTACAAGTTGTTTTAATTGAAATTATAACAAAATGTCAATGAATGGTTTGATTTGTTTTGTTTTGTGTACATCATATATAATATTAATTAATTAACTTAATTAAAATAGTAAAGTCAAATAATGAAAAACCCTACTACACATAGTAAGGTCAAATAATGGGAAAAAAACATGGTCCACAACACTTTCTTTCACTCCTTATCTGCCCAATAGCCAACCTTGCCCACCCAACTTTCATGAACACGAAAAAGAAAGAAAATATCCAGCCAATAAATATTTTTGAGAAAAACATGAATAAATAATTCCAGATTCATTTTTGTGGACTTGAAAAAGGGCTAAATATCTAAGTACTCTGGATATAATAAATAGTTTTTTTTTTTTTAATTATTTGTGGTGTGTTTTTGAGGGGATGAGGATGAGATGATGAGCTGTCATTAGCTTGTTTCTTTGTAGCCGCACATATGAGTTTCACTTTTTCTTGCACTTTATGCCACGTCACGAACAGGCGGCCTTACGTGTCTTTCAATAATAAATGCTTTCCTTGTCGGACAGCGAAGGCTACAGGCCTCCACAGGGCGAAATATGTTCCTCCTAGAAAGAGAACTCGTGATTTATCACACTCATATAGTCATATTGATTAATGACATTCAAACCTACAAGCAAGCAAGATATGGGAGAAGATATGTTTCACAAAACTGATAACTCAGTTAGTTTCTGAATGATATATTACAATTAATTTCACTTTTGATTTCACGCCTTGTGAGATTCTATCACTTTTAATGTACAATTTTAAAATTTTTCAATTTTGATGCTCAATTTTATTATTATTATTATTATTATTATTTTTTATCAATTTTGATCCTTTCGGACAAATTGACTGCGAAATGTTGCTTAATTTTATATTTTTAGAGGTAAATTTCTCATCTCAAGGAAACATGCATCTTCAATATCTAAACAAATCACTGTAAAATCATATCTATAGGTGTTTGATTAATAAGGATAATGGGGAAGACAAGCAGAAACTAGACACAGATCTTTGAGATTTATAGCGTCGGCGATTGACAAACTCTTCATTTTCTTTTAATATGATTTTTCTTCTGTTTAGATATTGAAGATCTTTCATTGGGATGACGATTTTGGCCCTAAAATATAAAATTCAGAAATATTTCGCCGTCAATTTGGCCGGAAAGACCAAAACAAATAAAAATAACAAAGTTTGGCACTAAATTTGAAAATTTTAAAATTGTGCATCAAAAGTGATAAGACATCAAAAGTCGTTGGACCAAAAGTGAAATTATTTCGATATATTATTAGCAAAGGCAAAATATAATTTACATGTCATTTCATACAACCCATCATCACAAATTCAACTCAATCAAGTATGAATTTATGAGGCATAGGAAGATTGGTATGTTTCGTTTGAGTCGGTCAACTATGATAATCTAGGTTAGTTTAATTTATTGTGATTCTTTGCCGGCTATAATTACACTGCAAGATTTATTCCGATGAAAGAATAAAGTAGGAATTCAAATTTTATTGTTTGATAGGTAAGAATGAATTATTAGGAATTTCAATTCTAAGACGGGATTACTTGATGTTTGATAAGGTTTAGAGTGAAGCCATCCAATTATCCAAATTGAAAAAGAGATCAAGGCTACCTATACTGAGAAGTCACGATAAACATCAAATTCTCAACGGATGACAATGATATGATCTACGATAAACTTTCTCAATAAATATAATTATTCTTTTACATATATCTTAAAAATATCGTTTAAAAAACTATTATAGAAATAATTATATCAGATGCGACAGATTTTATTATTTATTGAGTATGAATTAACTAGCTAGATAGAAATCATGTCATGTTGCATAATATTTTATATTGATTCCAAGAAAATTCCATAATGGATAAAATCTAATACTAAATACCTTTCTAGGTTTTTAAAAGTGTAATTCCACATATTGGGTGGATATGGTCATATGGGTGCTTGTGGACCACATATTGCTTACAACTTACAAGGAAATAAACTAATGCGAAAAAATTGTTACCACAAGTTTATTTGGCTTCCCTGGGAGGATGAAGGGGCGGAAATATTTAGCCATCCAGGAATTGACATGTGTCCCATGCTAACTATCTTCCACTTATACTCCACGTAAGTGACATTAAACAAATTAAAGTTCATAAAGGGGAAAAAAGCACCCTTAGCCTTCATTCTCATTCAATTACATCAGCACTTTTCCTTTTCTGTTTTTTTTTTTTTTTTTTTCCCCAGCTATTTGTTATATTATTACTACTTTTAATATAATTAATAATTACAATTAATATCAAATTTTAAAAGATAAAAGAGTAAATATTATTTTTGGTCCCTTGACTATCATAGGCGAAACACTTTTACTCCTTAACTATTATTTTTTTCAAAGATAAAATTTCAAATTTGGTCATATGACTATAGAGGTCTTGTTAATTTCAGTGCTTTATTTTTAAAAATGTCAATTTAGTACTTTAACTATGCAATTTTTGTCAATTTTGGTCACTCAGGCCAAATTACCGGTCAAATTTCACCGGAAAATTTTAATTGTTAAAATAATGAGGGTATTTTGATCATTTCGCGTCTCTTTTCTTCTTCCAAGCGAGTCCATCCCTTCTTCTTCCGTTTTCAGTGAATGTAATGAACTAAGATGATGGGAAAGGAGGCTTGATAATATTAAAGATAGGATTTAGAGGGAGAAAGAACGCCGGAAACGTGAGATAAAGAGATCGACTCGCAGGAGAAGAAGAAAAGAGGCGTAAAACGATCAAAATATCCTCATTATTTTAACTATTAAAAATTTTTAGCGAAATTTAAACGACAATTTGGCCGGAGTGACTAAAATTGACAAAAGTTATATAGTTAAGATACTAAATTGACACTTTTAAAAGTCAGGGACTGAAATTAACAAAACCCCTATAGTTATATGACCAAAATTGAAATTTCCTCTTTTTTCAAATTAAGGCCATGACTTTATAACTAGTATCACTTTTGGTCCTCCGATCTAATTTTCTGGCCACATATTACCGGAAAAATAATATGTTATAATTAGAAGGGTATTTTGATCCTTTCAAATTTATTTTATTTCATTTTTTTCTTCTTCCTTTTTATTTGAAAAGATCAATTATAACATATTATTTTTTCTGGTTAAAATTCCGATAATATGTGGCCGAAAAATTAGACCGGAAGACCAAAAGTGATATTAGTTAAAAAGTCATGCACTTAATTTGAAAAAAAAAAAAAAAAAGCAATAGTCAAGGACCAAAAGTGCTTCAATTAGGATAGTCAAGGGACTAAAAGTGATATTTACTCAATATGAAATATTTAACATTAAGGTATTGTTTGATTGAAGATTTCTGTATCTTATTATCAGATTTGATATGCATTGATATGTTTATTTGCATACTTTTGTTATCCTACTATTATATTCAAATGATCTAGTAAGTAGTAACTATAAAACTCATTATCGTTTTCATCTCTTACTTTTGAACAATGTAATTAAAAATAAGATAGAAAAAAAAATATTGTTTTTTTTTTTTTTCAAAATGGAAAAGCACTGTACTACCCCTATCTTTGATTTTTTTTTTTTTTGGGTCCTTTTAAGCATTCTTTAATTTGTTAACCTACCTTTAGATGATCTTGAACTAGATTTTGTATTTATTTTTTTTTAAAGAATATGTTAATGAAAGTATGAACAACGTACTAGATTATTTAAGTTTTAAAATATTGTGCAATATCCATTATTTCAGATAGATTTTATAGTATTTAACTATTTATCAATTTTAATACATCACTTTTATTTATTAGTGTATCACTTTTAATTATAAAATTAGTAGATAATTAATAATAATATTTATGCAAATTTGAGATAAAATATTCATAAATACACCATAATGTTTTCTTATATATTTGAATGTTATCCTGACATTTCGTGATTTATATTTTTTGAAAGTATATACTGTTTCTTTATTTTTATTTCTTACTTTCATGCTTACATAGTTGACCATCAAAACATTATAATTAATGTTCTATGCCAAATTAAAGAAATGATGGAATAGACGGAGACTTCGTGGCAGAATACAATAATGGACCGTTGAACTGGGACCTTGATCCATTGTTAGTATGCATTAGCCTGCCAGGAGGCACTCTCTTGGATAAATAAAATAAAATAAAAATAAGAGACTCAGCAACATCCGAATGGTGACAGATTATCA